TAATTACGGCTTGCTTTTAATAGAGTTGGACCATTTTTTTTTCACGCTTGGTAGACCGGCGTGGGCGTACAACACCCATGTCAATCCTCTGGGGTTGGGGGAGCTTCGATATTATTTGTTGAAGCTTCTAGGTCTTCGTAGTAAGGAGTGAGATTTGCGACATTGAATGTTGCTGTAATTTTGGAGTCTCCTGATAGGTTAATTCTGTATGCGTTATCGTTCAATTTTCTTAAAATGCGAAAAAGTCCATCGACTCTATGCTTGAGTTTGTTGTATGCTCCTGCATGAAAGCATTTTTTCTTAAGTCGTATCCATACGAGGTCGCCTTATTGAAATGTCATCTTTTTCTTAGACTTATTTGCTTGGGCTTGATATTTGTGTTTTTGCTTTGAAATTGCTTTCCCAACATCTTCGTGAAGTTGCTATATTTGAGAAACACGTTCGGTAGCGTCCTGGCTGATCTCTGCGTGGTGTGATCAACTCAAGGGGTGTGATCACGTTGCGACTATGCACAATTTCGAATGGCGTGTGTCTTGTGATTTGGCTTGTTGATCAATTGTAGGCAAATTCGGCTTGAGCGATAATGTGATCTCACTGTTTGATATTTTTCCCTATGAAGCAGTGAAGAAGATTCCCAAGGCTACTATTAGTTACTTTGGTCTGACTAGTCTGCCTGAGGATGTGCTGCAAAACTAAATTGAAGTTTTGTGCCTAATTTTCTCCGGAGGGTCCGCCAAAAGTGGCTTAAGGATTTAACGCCCCGATCGGAAGTAATGGTCATGGGAATGCCGTGAAGCCGAGCGATCTCGCGAAAGTACATATCGACGTTATGAGATGCATCTAATGTTCCGTGGCAGGCGCAAAATGCGTAATCTTGGAGAGTTGGTGAACTACGACCATAAGAGAGTCCTTATTTCTTTGTGTGCGTGGTAGTCCTATGGCAAAGTCCATGCTCACATCGGCCAAGGCGTCTGAGGGATCAGTAAAGGTAACGATTGCTGTGTTTTGTTCGTGAGTTTGGCGATATGAGAAATCTTCATTGTTGGACGTGTCGCTCAATATCTCGTGCAAGTCTGGGCAAAAAAAAAATATTCTTTTGGATGATAGCTTCGTGTAATGATTATCGGGGAATGCACAATTTATTGTGATGGAACAAGTAACCGTTTGTTTGGTAGAACTGCCCATGAGGTTTCTTCTAACACTGTTTCTATATTTCCTTGTAATGATTATCGGGGAATGCACAATTTATTGTGACGGAACAAGTAACCGTTTGTTTGGTAGAACTGCCGATGAGGTTTCTTCTAACACTGTTTCTATATTTCCTAGAAATCTTCATCGGTGTTATATAGGTCTTTTATAACTTCAAAGCCTACGACGTGCGCTTGTAAGGACGTGTTCAAAAGGTGACGATTGCTTGGAGCGTCGACGATGCGTTTCTGGTTTTTGGCTTTGTGCTTGAATATCAATTGGAAAGAAGTTATAAATTCTACCTAGGTAGCTTGGTGCCATTCAAGTTTATTTTTGTCTGTTTAAAAATTTTAGAGCTTCATGATCTATGAAGAGGGCGAACTTAGCTATGAGTGGTAGTGACTCCAGTGTTATAGATCCCTAACAATGACGTAAAATTCTTTGTCGTAAGTGCAGTATTTTCATCGAGTCTCGTTTAGTTTTTTATTGAAATAGATAATGTGATGACTATCTTGACTTAGTACAATCGCCACTGAACCTTGAATGGTTGGTTGAAATCAGGTGAGGCAAGAACTGGGCTTGAGTGACCTTTTCCTTCAATATTTCTTTTGTTCCAACAGCTCTGTGAGGGGGGGGGGGGGATAGTGCTGAAATTGCGAACGAATCTTCGGTAGAAGAAAGCTTGCCTCAAAAATTGCCAAAGCTCGGTAAAATATTGCGGTGCGATCCATCTTACGATTGCCTCGATCTTTGTGGGGTCCCTTTGTATCCCCGTGCTAGACATAATCTAGCCCAAAAAATATACTTGGTTTGTGAATAAGTGCATTTCTTGCGGTGGGCGTATAGCTGTTCGGATCGTAAGATCTCAAATACCGTCCGAAGGTGCTATAGATGATCTTATTTGAATTTACTATAAACCAGAATATCATCGAAGTAGACCACCATGTATCTCTCGATATGAGCTCAAAAGACATGATTCATTAGGCAACTATAGTTTGGCATAACGTGCAACGTACATGGGATAATGGGGAGCCGGACCGACGGGACAGGAACACAGGAATTTGGAGGGTTGGAAGGCGGGCCTGCGATAGTTGAACCGACACAGGGAATTCGGACCACAGACTGCGGGCTTTGGATTGGTCTAGGAGCTAAACCTATGAAATTTGATCGGGGCAGAGTTGGACCTGCGGGACTTGGACTGGTTACGGGATTTAGACCAAATAAGGAGGAATTTGAGCAGATTTTTGCCACCCAAAAGATTGAATTTGGGGAGATTTTTCCTCTTTTTTCTTTTTTTTTAACAGTTGCTTCTTTTTTATTTGTAATGAGGGAATTTGAAAGCTAAAGAATGGAATGCGTACCGACGTGGATTTGGAACAAAAAATGAAATTCAGTTTTTTTTTTCATATATATATATATATATGTATATATTGAAAATTGGTTTGAAAAGTAATTTAAATATATTTAAAGTAGTTTAAATATATGTAATTTATAACAATTAAAGAAGAGAATATGAAGAAATTTTTTCTTTAATACCTGAAATAATTTTTATTTTTTATTTTTAAATTTGGAAATAGAAAGGTGGAAAACAAAAAGATGGAAGACCAAAAACTGGAAGGTGAGATGACGAGAATTAATGTAAATTTCAATTTTTTTTAATGATTTTTTTAATGCTAGACCGCCTCATAAGTCTATAAATAGATGTCATGATGAGGTGAAGAACCACAAGTGATGAGAAGGAGAAATAAGAGGGAGAGCGGAAGTAGTGCATTCTGCTAGTGAAATTTTACGGAAGAAATTTGTTTCCGTCTTGCGTAGAAAGCGAGCAATGAAATCTTCTTTCGCATTGCAACCAAGAGGAAAGTCGTTCCCGTTCTTCATAGAAAGTAAGCAACAAAATCTTCTTTCGTGTTGCGACCAAGAGGAAAGTTGTACCCGTCCTGCGTAACAGACGAACAACAAGATATTCTTTTGTGTTGCGACAAAGAGGAAAGTTATTCCCGTTCTGCGTAGTAGACGAGCAAAGAGATATTCTTTTGTGTTGCGACCAAGAAGAAAATTCGTCCCCGTACTGCGTAACAAACGAGCAAAAAGATCTTTGGTGTTGTAGCAAAGAGGAAAGTCGACCCCATCCTGCGTATCAGACAAACAAAGAGTTTTTCTTTCATGTTACAGAAATGAAGATAATTGGAGAACCTCGTTCTGTTGAGAACTAGAAGAAAGTCAAAAACTCAGAGGATACGACGTCAGTTCTGATAGAGAGCGACTTGATTTTCTTTCGAAAGAAGGATTAATTCTCGAACGACATGGTGGTGAAATTACTGACTTCAGCTGACTGAGTGTAATTTCCTCCTTCTTGACATATTGTTGTTCATAAGGCAGTATTGAGAACTGACCTACGATTTCTGTCGACACCTGAGTTTATCG